GTGGATTGTTGAGAAATATGGTTTTCCAAATGGGTTCCTAGGACTTTTGGGCACTGCATACTTCGCGGTTGCCCACACCGACAAAGGGGTATCGTCAGTACATATTCTTCGCGCTCTGGTAGCGAGGTACTGAATCAAATTTCTTTTCCGCTCCAAAGGCTTTTGAAATGGATCTATTGATTGTTCCACGATCGCTCCCTGTGGATGGCGCGTTGCACATTTCCGTATAGTCGACGGCCTAGAAGAGCTTCCAGAAATTCGATTTGCTCATTATCTTCGTTCTCTAGAGTAAATTTAATGTTTGGATGAACTGAACCAAACGCTTTCAAGAGTCTTGACAGATGCCCAACAGCGTTATCCACTTAGCACTTGTAAAATTTTCTTTTTAAGATGTTATTCTCCAGCTTCGAAATGAAGATATCTGCGAACAGTGGACCCAGAGGAGATCCCTTTGCTACTCCATATACTTGACGATAAACTTCGTCATTGCATTTGAATTTTATGTTGTATGTGCAAAAGTATAGTAATTGAGATCACCCACTGGTATTCCAATTTCACAACGTTTACTTTGTATATGGTCACATATTCCCCCAGCCGATTGTGATTCTTTCCAATTTTTCTCTCTCCACTCATTGGGACAGATGCTAGTTGAAGTACTGATTTCTTTGTTGGCCAGTGTGGGAAAACGTTTTGCTATCGCCGAGGATCTCACACCCCATTCAGCCTCATTTGTGCCCTACTCGGTACGACTTGCTGTCGAACTGCGACACTTGCATCGACGTTTGATGCTGGCACTGTACGGGGAGAAATCAATCGTACTGAGAGTGAGTTTATGTCACGGGAATTTTCTTGTTTATTTTTGTCTACGAACAATCCTGTATCTATCAAGTAGCTTTTACCACTTCTCCGATTTTGCTTCATGATGGCTTCTGATTGTTCTTATAGGCACCGAGCGCTATTTTAATGAGAACGTGGTTCGTTTTCGAGAGCGATTTTCATCACAGATATGCTTTAAACCACTTGTCATATCCGGTTCAAATCCGAGTTTGTGTTATGTTAGCTCGGATTCCGCCGGTTATGAATCGCCGCAGCTTTGTTCCATTTAGACTCAGTGCACCGACAACTTTCCTCCGAAGGATCTAATTTAAAGAGATTTATGCCAATTTGCGAGGTTCCTTTTCCAAATGCCGAAACGGAAACTCAATTTAGCACGGAAAGCCAGTCTATGATTGCTACGCGAAATTGAATCACACAAGATCGTCACATTGGCTAATAGCCAGTTGGTTCGGTTACTGATATTTACCTCTAATTTGATCACTCTATCAGTCTACCGGTGTTTCTGGCATGGTGTCTCAATGATAACCGGTCGGGATTGATCGACGTGCATCGAGAAGGCGCAGAAATCCTGGGTGTCACGGCATGATGTATCATACCACAACTAAGACAGTGGAATGAAGAATATACTCGATAAGCGATCAGTGCTAGTTGATGTTATCGGATGGGGTTGGTTCTAGCTTTTCAGCTAGCTCGTTCTGAAAGACAGTAAGGCAAACTGGTTGATACAGTTTATCACAGTCTAACCATGGTTGTATAGTGTATTCGGGACGCCCACCGAAGCACGTGGAGAGCCTGGAGCAAACTAATGCGTAGTCGGATTCGAGGAAAGTATTCCACTACGGTCGGCAGTCTTGTATTCAACTCCAACATGTGTAGCTTACGGCGATGTGGTCCATTTGCGTTCACCGCTGACTCGAGGAGAGTGGACGCCTGGTGGAATAACGGCAGTTGGATCGTCTAAAGTTCATATTGTCGA